TTGTTACAGAGGTAAATGTGTGCCATGGCGGTTTTCTGCACACATCGTCCCATCACCCAGGTATTAAGCCCAGCATCCACTGGCTATGCTTCCTGATGCTCTTCCTCCTATCAACCTCCACCATCCAATAGGCCCTGGTGTGTGTGTGTGTGTGTGTGTGTGTGCGTGTGCATGTGCATGTGTGTGTGCATCCATGTGTCCCTATCTTCTCATCACTTAGCTCCCACTTATAAGTGAGAACATGCAGTACTTGGTTTTCAGTTCCTGTGTTTGCTAAGGAGAATGGCCTCCAGCTCCATCCATGTCCCTGCAAACGACATGATTACATTCCCTTTTATGGCTGCATAGTATTCCATGGTGTACAGGTGCCACATTTTCTTTATCCAGTCTACCATTGCTGGGCATTTAGGATGACTCCATGTCTATGCCACTGTGAATGGCAGACAGCAACTTTCACGGAAGCAGCAGCGTACAGCAGCAGAGATGCTCCTTCTTGTGGAGCAGGGTCACTCCCTAAGGAGTGCGTCCAGGGCAGCAGCCCAAAAGCTGCGCTGTAGGCATATTTATGCCCACTTTTAGTTACATACAAATTAAGGACAGTTTATGCAGAAATTTGTAGAAATAGGGTGGTAACTTCCAGGTGGTTGGGTCATTGCCTTGGAAAGGGGCCATAAGTTCCAGTTGTTGCCATGGTAACGGTAAACTGACATGGTGCACTGTGGGTGTGTCATGGAAAGCTGCTTCTGCCCCAGCCCTGTTTTAGCTGGTCCTCAATTTGGTCCAGTGCCTGAGTCCCACCTCCAGCGTGGAGTCCCACCTCCTACTTCAATAATAATAGAAAAGGTTGGATGTCATTTATTCCCATAGCATCCCCTGGGAGGGACCATAAGTCAATTCCTGCCACTGAGATCCCCTGGACTGCCTAGTTCCTGTCTGTTCCCTGCCTGGTTCTTCAGGGATGCTCTTAATTCTGTGAGTTTCCATCAGTTATTTCTCTGTCAACATTATTACCAGACTTAAGTTTCTGTTGCTTGCAACCCAAGGATCCTAACTGACAACTCACCTGTTGGCCAAATTCATCCCACGTTCTCCACCCTCCCCGCCATGGCCTCATCAGCATGGCCTGGCCTTCAGAGCCAGCTTCCTCCCTGGTATTCATGTTTCTGGTCTTCCCAGTGCCAAATCCCCTCACCACGAAGTCTCCAGCCAAACCAGACCGTGCCACCCTAACGGGGAAATGCTGAGCCCCTGGTCCTGACCAAAGGCCCCATCTGTCATACTTGTCTCTTCTTTGTACCTCCCTGTATCAACCTTTAAGCCCCAAGAACTCCAAATTACCAGCTGCTTCCTCATATTCTCCATGTGTGTGCTAAGCTTTCCCACCCTTTCCTCTGCACTGGCATAGCCATTAAAAGCTAACCATGTCCTAACCATTCTTTAAACTCAGCCCAGACATCAGCTCCACCCTTGCATAGCTACCATCCATCTCTGCTCACAGACGTGCAGCCCGATCATACAGCCTGCCCTCCCCACTAATCTGTGAATTGTTTGATGACAGGCACTGTGTCATCTCCATCTCTCCGTCCGTACTGCAGAGCAGGCACTGAATCAATGTTAGCTGAACGTTAAACGCTTAAAAACATAATTCCCATTGAAAAACCACAGGTTGGATGCAACAGTGGAGCTTCCCTTCTCCTCCTTTTGAAGCACATTTGGAATTACCCTCAGATCGAGTGTTCTGAGGAATCTGCCAACGCTCTGCTAATCCTGAAGGATGGTTTCATAGCTTAAGAGTCAGAACTCGCACTGTTTTCACAAGCATCAGAGGCTGATGCTGGTCGCACTGCTTAACGGTTCTCAACCATGAAAGGGCATGTCAGACACTCTGACTACACCAATGGAAGCCCCAAGTGAGGGGCTAAGGTGCCACCCATCCTACATCAACATGGGTACAGAAAGGGCATATGCAAAAAAGAAAAAAGAAAAAAAAATAGCTTATCATCAAACTTCAAACCAGCGTGCGCTCAGACGGGTACAGGCACACTCGAGAAGCAAGCAGCTTTGGTGTAGGGTTCTCCTCCCCCCAGACCCAGCGCGCAAGACACAGCCCATGTTGTGCCTCCGGCTCCTCACCAGGAATGAGGAATGAGATGCTGACCTAGATTCACGGACAGGGCACCCACTCTGAGCAAGTCACTGCAGGTCCAACGTTCCCAAAACGCTCCTCCTGTCCTAAGGAAGCAGTGTGGAAAGTGTGCGCACCAAGGACGGAAACGCGGCCCGTTAGCATCGAACCGTGGCATCCAACTGGCCCTGCTTCTGTCCTGCAAGCCACGCAGCCCCAGGAAAAGTTACTTCACTTCCCTTCGCGTCCAATTCCAAACAGGAGAGACGAGGAATACCCATTTTTACACCCATGACATGAGCTCAAAGGCGTGAAAGGCTCTGGCGCACAAGCAGGATCTCAGACATCTGAATAAGGAGGCTCTTCGAAGGCTTTCAACGTCCAAAGTTCTATCGATCAGAATCTTTCTCGTAATGAGAACTAGTGCCCCCTTCTGACAGCCGGCGAGCACTGCATGGGTTGTCAGTCCCGGCATGTGGTGAGACACCCCTGCAGCCGCCGCAACAGGAGGAAGGGCCAGCCACAGATCCCCTCCCCTGCTGGTGACCCTCCCGAGGCCACTGGCTATGAAAAAGATATTTCCAAAAGGGACCCCAGCCCTGCCCAATATTTAAGGAGGAATCAGAAGCCACCCACTGGGGAGAGAAATGTGAAACTCAACCAAGAACAGCTGTCATCCACCCCCACCCCCCGCCCTGTCCCACCCCCTCCCCTTACAGAGGAAAGGGCGTCCTGTGTGTCCGTCAAGTCTTGTCCCTTTCTCAATAGAACCAGCTGAATTAAATTATTTTCTTTCTAAAAAGCCCTTATCCTGCACCCTAGCTGAAGGCCTGCTTACTGGCAATACTTGCTTTCAGAGTTCAGGGAAAGGTGACATCTTGGTGAACGATTCTAAGAGGATTTAGCTCTCCGCCAAAAAAATATCGTGAGGATTGGATTTCCAAAGAGTTTTGTTTTCATTACTCCAGTTAGATACACCCAGTAACCAACTTCACTGTCGTAGAACAGCTTCTCAGTAAACAGCTCCACGCAGCTGCTGCCATGAAAAACCCACACGTCTGCAGTGAACTCAAAAAGCAGAGCCCCTCCGCGGGGCTTCCACCAGGGCAGGCCGCTGGGGAAACACAGCTCAGGGCATGCTTGGGGCTTTCGTCGGGGACCCCACGGATTGCCTGAGGAACTAGCAAAGTTATGCAGTTCCTGGAGCCCAGGAATGAATCCTAAACTGGGCGTGGTGACAGAACTGCAAGGCTGAGAGGTCTGAGGGGACACCTGGGCATCAGTACACACAGGTAGCAGATAAAAATCAAGACTCCACATTCTTCTTCCAACACCTCCTCCCACCCCACAAAAATGAAACAAAGCCACCAACAAGCCAAGGAGGAGAGCTGGAATCGCGCGCCTATGAAAAACACGTCCTGTTCCAGCCTCAAGACAATTTCACACCAAATGGCTTTAAATTCCCTTCCAAAAGCTCTGATGCCTGAATTGAAAAATAATTTCCCTTTTTGAGCAAAAGTCAGCAGTTAAAGAAGCAGAACCTGAAAATCCTAGGAGCTCATGAGTTCTCAAATGTGCACAAATGTTGCGTTTGTCTGCACACCAGCAGCGCGGAAATCTACCCATTCTTTTTGAGAAGGTCATCTCAACTCTGTCACAGAGGTTACTGTGGGTCACTCTAGAATGTAGTTATTATCAACACTAAACAGACTTCCCAGCCACATGCAGCCGGCGCTAAGCTGCTATTCCCTGAGCCCAAGAAAGTCTTTTTTTTTTTTTTTTTTTTTGCAGAAAGCCGGCTCAGGGCCTGGGGATGGCTGGCGCCCCAGTCTTGGCACCTAGGGAACTGCAGGCACCGCTTCACCCAGGAGCTAAGGGCTTCGACCCAAATGGAAGAAAGGCGCCTTCCTTACACAAGCCTCGTCCAAGAAAAAAGAGCAGTGGGAAACCACGGTGGGGTGGCGGCCAGGGCGCACGTGCCCCGAGGCTAGGACGAAGCCGATCCCCTCCGCGCCCCTAGCCTGTCCGAACGCTGCGTCCCCCGTTCGCCCTCGCCCTGAGGTCGGCCCAGAACTACCTGCTGCTGCCTGGGCGTCCTCGGACCAAGTCTCGGGAAGTTCACTTCACATTGAGCTAGTCCGGGGAGACCCGGCACCCGCGTAAACCCAGACTGCCCGGGGAAGACCGAGCCCACCCCTGCCCAGGCGCCAGGCCCGTCCAGCCGCTGGGAGCTCAGGGACTGAGTCCCAGCTGGACTGCAGAGGCCTCTCCGGTTACCCCTTGCACCCCGGCGCCCCCGGACCCGGGCAGGTGACAGTCAGGAGCGTGCGCCCAGAAAGGCGAGCAGTCGGCGCCGGGGCTAGAGAGGGAGCGAACCCTGCCTCCCGCCTCCCCCGATCGCCATGACTCCCTCCGGCTTCCCGAAGAGACCTGGCTGCCGCCGGGCGCTCCCACCTAGGCTGCGGTGAGGCTCTGGGTCCCCATTCCTCTTTCCCCACCGCCCGGGCGCCTGCGGCCGGGGGTGCGCAGCCTGGTGGCCACCGGCGCCGGTGGGTAGAGGAACGGCTGGCAGCCTCCGGCGCGCACGGTGCCGGGACACCCGAGTGAGCCGCGGCCCTTCCCCACCCCACACCCCCAGGCCCGCGGCCAGGAGACAGCTCCACCGAGGGCAGGGGGTCCGGGCCGCCGCAGCCCGCCGGGAGGGAACGGTGCCGGAGCCAACAGGTCCGGGAGGCGCCTTCCGCGGATCGCCCGCCCACTCCGAGCACGGGGCCCCGCGACCGCCCGGGGGTTTGGGCGCGCCGGAGAGGGGCGAGGACCCCGAAAGAGGGAGGAGAGGTCGCGCGCGGGGCGGGGAGCTGGCGGCCGCACTCACCTCACGCTGGGCCGGGGCCCCGCAGCCGGGCAGCCGACGCGCCTCCGCACCGCACGGGGGGCTTCCTCCGAGGCCGGCAGGGAGGGGGCGGCGCGGAATGGAGGCGCCGCGCCGGCAGCGCTCAGCGTCTCGCTCACACCCCCCGCCGGCAGCCTCGTCCTCGCGCCGGCATCTTCGCTGCCACCGCCGGCTCCCTCGGCGCCCCCGGGCCGCTCCCCACGCGCGCGCCGGCACCGGCACGAGCCCCCTCGCCGACTCGGAGCGCGATCTGGGCGCGAGCCTCCCTGTCTGCGTCCTCCGCTCCCGCCTGGGGACGCGTGCCCCGCACCCCGCACCCCGCCCCGCGCGCTCCTCTACCCCTCCCGCTGCCGCCGGCCGCGCGGGCTCAGCCCATGTGCGCGGCTGCCGCGCTGCGCCCCGGAGCGCAGTGGCCGAGGCCCCGCCGGAGTTGCGCGCCCCAGAAACTCCATGCAGCTCCGGCCTCCTCCCGGCTCCTCCTCCCCGGAGGCTCAGTCCTCCTCCGCCCGCGCCCTCACTCCGGAGCCGGGTTCTAGGCTCGCCTCGGCCGCCTGCGCCCTGGCTCCTCCGAGGGTCGGGGAGCCCCCACCCCCACCCTCCGCCTCTCCAATGGCTCCCTCGGTTTCCAGGCAGCGCAACCTGAGGAACGCCTCGGCGCGCGCGCACTCACACTCGCGCGCACACACACACGCACACACTCGCGCGCACATGCACGGCACACACAGGCAGACTCACGGGGGGCGGGCGGGCGCTGGGCAGACGGCGCTCCTTCCTTCCCTTCCCGAAGACGCTGCCCACGTTAACTCCGGCAAACTGCTGTTCGTCGGCACAAGGCAGCTCGCCCCGCGCCCGCTGCCTTCACTACTTCATCGCGGTGCCCACGACCCAGGGCCACGGTCACACCTGAGCCCAGGGGAAGGCGGGGCGCCAGGGCGGAGGGGCCGATGGCCCGAACTGCGGGGTGGGGGGATACCGCGTGACCGCCCCTGGCAACGTCCAGGGAGGCACCGCTGCCGCGGGGCATCGCCCACCCACCACGGATTCCCCCCTCCAGGGCCTCAGAACACGTGGCGGGGCTCCCATTTCTCCCAAGGTCACAGGATGGATCCGATGGGAGGGAGAGGGCGCTTGGGCACAGGTGTGAGCTACCGATTCGCAGACTGTCCGCAACTTGCCCGTGCGCTGACCTCTGCTGGGTCTCCGCCCAGACAGCCCCTTCTCTCCCCGGCCCCGGGTCTCAAGGGCAATGCATTTGCTTGGAGTCAGCAGTCACCTTTCCCAGTCCCCACCTGTCTGCCTCCCAGGAGCTGACGGAATACACGGCGCAACCAAGGTTTGTCTTGGCGAGAAAAAGAAAGAATCAAAGCAGCGAGGTGGGTCTCAGACTGTCCCGTAGACAGATTAGACGCTTGCCAGTCCCTTTCTGCTGTCCCCAAGGGTGTGCCAATAAAGAAGGAACAACAAACCTGGCTGAAGCAGGCTAGTCCTTCCTCACAGCACCCTCCTGTCCCGGGTCCCCAGTTTCTTGTCCCCTCTTGGAGGCAGAAAGACTGCTCACCAGCTCAGATGCCTCTGAGTCCAGAACCAGAGAAAAGATACATGTGAAAATGCTCACACCAATCAGGAACAAAAGCAGCCAATGCTGCTCTAAGCGGCTCATCCAAACAGCTCAGCAATCACCTCTCCACTGTTTGGTTCAACTGCCAGGAAAGTTTGGGCATTTTTTTTCTGCCAGCCAGCAGCACAATCAGGGTCGTGTGTGTGTGTGTGTGTGTGTGTGTGTGTGTGTACCTTCTGGCTTGTCGCCTGGGCGTGGTTTCAGAGTCCCTGAAGCCCTGGTGGGTGCCACGCCTTTGGCACTTAGCATTTGCTAACCTGTATTATTACTAACTTGTATGGACCCTACATCTCTAGTAATCTTTTTTTATTTTTTATTTTTTGTCATCCTTGTAGGTACATGGTAGGTGTACATACTTGTGCAGTACATGAGATGTTTTGATACAGGCATGCAATGTGAAATAGGCGCATCATGGAGAACAGGGTATTCATCACCTCAAGCATTTACCCTTTGAGTTTAATTTATCCAATTACACTCTTTACGTTATTGTGAAACACATGCGTTATTATTGACTAGAATCACCCCGTTGTGCTACCAAATAGATCTTATTCATTCTGACTTGTTCTTCACCAATTAGCCATCCCTACCTACCCATTCCCCTCACCCTTTCCCGCCGTAGGCTCTCTATGTCCACGAGTCCACGAGTTCAATTGTTCGATTTTTTTTTTTTTGAGACAATCTCACTCTATTGCCCCAGCTGGAGTGCATTGGTGCAATTTAGCTCACTGCAACCTCCATCTCCCAGGTTCAAGTGATTCACCTCCTGAGTAGCTAGTATTACAGGCACGCACCGCCACACCCGACTAATTCTTTGCATTTTTAGTAGAGATGGGGTTTCACCATGTTAGCCAGGCTGGTCTCGAACTCCTGACCTCAAGATCCATCCACCTCAACCTCCCAAAGTGCTGGGATTACAAAATTGTTTTGATTTTTGGATCCCATAAATAAGGGAAAACGTGCTATTTGTCCTTCTGCGCCTGCCTTATTTTACATAATGATCTCCACTTCCATCCGTGTAATTACAAATGACTGGATCTCACTCTTTTTTATGGCTGAGTGCTCCGTTGTGGACACGTACACATTTTCTTTATCCATTCATCTGCTGTTGATGGACAACCAGGTTGCTTCCAAATCTGAACTCCTGTAAAGAGCGCTGCAGCACACGTCCGAGTGCAGACACCTATTCAAGATACTACTTTTCTCTGGGGTATATACTCAGCAATGGCACTGCTGGATCATATGTTCCCTGGCAATCTTGTAACTGAGATGTAACAGGCACCACCACTCTTAGGGACTGGCAGAGTACCTCTCCCCAGCCCCAGCATGAAAACACAGAAAAATCTTGAGTTCCTTCAAAGAAATTCCAGACACCTAGCTAGCCTCATGAAGTAAACCAGCAACTTGATAAGCAAGAAGGTAACTGTAGCTTAAAACAACAGCCAAGAAAGTTAGAATCAGGAAAGTTTTTGTTTCCTGTATCAGTCTGTTCTCATGCTGCTAATAAAGACATCCCAAGCACTGGGTAATTTACAAAAGAAAGAGGTTTAATGGACTCAGTTCCACATGGCTAGGGAGGCCTCACAATCATGGCAGAAGGTAAAGGAGAAGCAAAGGCACATCTTATATGGTGGCAGGCAAGAGAGCGTGCGCAGGGAACTCCCATGGATAAAACCAGCAGATTTGTGAGACTTATTCACTACCACGAGAATAGTATGGGGGCAACCTGCACCTGCGATTCAATTACCTCTCATGACTTAGGGACTTGTGGGGTACCCCTCCCCTAGCCCAAAGTAGGAATCATGGGAGCTACAAGTCAAGATGAGATGTGAGTGGGGACACAGTCAAACCATATTATTCCCTATAGAATCTAAACAAAACATCTTAGTGTACGTCCTTGAGATGTTTTCCAGAAACCTGGACCCCATTAAACTGAACAATTAGCACACAGACCTCAGATAAGGGGGAACTGAGAACTCAACTCTGTGGTTCTTGTTCTGCATTTCTTCCTGAGGGGTCTGGAGGAAGCCACACCTACAGGCCAGAGTGAACATTCTTTTCTGCAGACCCCGTATTTTTAGACAAAGCTTCACCTCCTTAACCAATCACAGATCAGAAAATCTTTGAACTCACCTATAACATTTGTAGAGATGTGATCTCCCTATGTTGTCCAGGCTGGTCTCAAACTCCTGGCCTCAATTAATCCTCCCACCCCCACCTTCCTAAGTATTGGGATTACTAGTCCCAATGTGAGCCTATGGGGGCCTCTGCTTCCAGATGTCTAGTTTTTTAAATCAAACTAAATGCAGAGCCTTCCTGTATTGAATTGTGGCTTTGCCTATAGCCTCTGCCTCCCAACTTTAAAAATCCTTCCCTGTAAGCCAGCTGGGTGGTTGGGACTTAAGCATGAGCTGCCCAATTCTCCCTGCTTGCTGCCCTGCAAATAAATGCCTTCCTTTCTCCTGCTGCAAACCTTGATGTGGATAGCTGGTCTTACTGCACTGGGTGAGCAGCCCCAGTTCCATTCAATAACATGACATGCTCGAGCCACTGGTTAAGCTTTATGTACCTAGTTCAGAGATGTGCATAGAAGGTGAGATGGTTTGGCCCTGTGTCCTCTCCCAAATCACATCTTGAATTGTACTCCCATAATTCCCACATGTTGTGGGAGGGGCCTGGTGGGAGATAATTGAATCATGGGGGTGGTTTCTCCCATATGGTTTTCGTGGTAGTGAATAACTCTCTCCAAAGCTGATGGTTTTATAAGGGGAAACCCCTTTCAGTTGGCTCTCTCACTCTGTCTCCTGTCTGCCGCCATGTAAGATGTGCCTTTTGCCTTCCGCCATGATTGTGAGGCCTCCCCAGCCATGTGGAACTGTGAGTCCATTAAATCTCTTTCTTCTACAAATTTCCTAGTCTCAGGTATATCTTTACCAGCAATGTGAAAATGGATTAATACAGAAAGTAGGCCGGGTGCGGTAGCTCAAGCCTGTAATCCCAGCACTTTGGGAGGCCGAGGCGGGTGGATCACGAGGTCAAGAGATCAAGACCATCCTGGTCAACAAGGTGAAACCCCGTCTCTACTAAAAATACAAAAATTAGCTGGGCATGGTGGCACTTGCCTGTAGTCCCAGCTACTCAGGAGGCTGAGGTAGGAGAATTGCTTGAACCCAGGAGGCAGAGGTTGCGGTGAGCCAAGATCGCGCCATTGCACTCCACCCTGGGTAACAAGAGCGAAACTCCATCTCAAAAAAAAAATACAGAAAGTATTGTATTTACAGGGGTTTCCACAATGGGTCGCAGGCAGATGAATAGAGTTGACAGGGTCTCCATAAGATCTTTCCCTCTGACCCCTTAATTGGGATGAATGCTGCATTGTCTAACAATCTGTTGCCTCTGTAAGCAATTATTTTGTCACTTTCTAGATGACAACTGGGTCACCAAAATGCCTTGGTAGGGCCAAGCATGGTGGCTGAAGACTGTAATCTGAGCACTTTGGGAGTCCGAGGCAGGTGGATCACTCGAGGTCAGGAGTTTGAGACCAGCCTGGCCAACATGGTGAAACCCTGTCTCCACTAAAAATAAAAAAAATAGCTGGGCATGGTGGCAGGTGCCTGTGATTCTCCTGCCTCAGCCCCAGCTACCCTGGAGGGTGAGGCAGGAGAATTGCTTGAACCTGGGAGAAAGAAGTTGCAGTGAGCCGAGATCGCGCCCCTGCACTCCAGTCTGGGCAACAGAGCAAGACTCAGTCACAAACAAACAAATGCCCTGGTAAGTGTGGACACACACACAGAGTTCCTGGTAAAATGTAGAGGCCTCCCACATAACCAGAGTGGGAAACATCTGCCCAAAGGTTTCATTCTTCCCCCGCTTCCTGCCTGCATGAATTTGGGCAAGTTGTTTGTTCTGTCTAACTGCTCTCATCTGTAAAATGGGGATAATTAGAGTATTCCATAAGGTTGTTGAGAAAATTTAATGAGATCATGTGAAACAGCAGTGCACTCAGTTAACTTGTCTCCAGGTGAAAAGTGAGC